ATTTTTGAAGCTGTGTCCTTTTTGTGTAACCAATGAGAAGACTTAAATGCTTCTGGCATTTTGCAGAATTTTAAAACTTAACATTTAGTTTGGTTTAGTGTGTGTGTTTTTTTTTTTTTTTTTTTTGTATAGCTTGATACTACATCATGCTGTAATTTTTATAGCACCAAAGGAAGGCATTGCACTCTGACCTTCTCTTAAAGCTGTCTTGTCTCTTTTGTTAAGAGCCTTGAGGAAGATGGCTCTCTGCTACTTCTGAATTAAACAATCTGTCAGTCACTCCACGATGAGATTGTGCATGCTGAGACTTTTGTCTGTGTATTGCTTGCATTTATAATACACAGTGCTCTTGCAGTCCAAAGATGTCTGTCAAGGAGGGCCCCCATTCCTTCTTCAATTGAACAAAGAAACACGTTTACTCAAACTTTTTCTCTGACATGTCGCTCAGAAACATATTATATGTTGCATAGGCTATATGTTGCCTTGTGTCCCTTTTCTCTAAATTGTTGTCTCTAAATTTTCTCTTGCTTAAAGTTTTGCCAGTACATTTGTTTTCTATCAGTGTTGGTTTTGACCATTTGAAGTTGGCTATCAATGCTTTAGTCTTCAAGATATCGTTTTTGGACATCACTTCAGATATCATTTTTAGAACATTTAGAAAATAGTGCACCAAATCTTTAGGTATAGTTACTAAAATGCTTTAGGAGGTTGAATGACATTTAGTGCTCTAGTTCTGCCTCAAAACAATGTGCTGATTTGCAGAGTCAGTTTATTAGACCTTGTGGTTTCTATATGATATAGATACAAATTGTTAATAGCAACCTCATTTTTGTTGTAAAGTTGGCTGATGCCTTTTCTGTTTTTTTCAGTTTTCAGCTTGGTGTAATATTCATGGGGGAGAAATGGTTTAATTAATAAATGATCGGTAGTAATATATGGACCAGGATTATCTGTGGATGGGAATGAGGAAAGGTTCCTCAACTTAGAAGTCGTAAACTTTTAGTATCCTGTAGTTTTCTTTGATATGAGTCACATGATGGCAGAACAGTGGAAACCTCCACATCTGGGCCACACATGTGACTGACTCTACTAGACATCTAAGCATCTAAATAAACTAAACATCTCTACTAGAGTCTCTACTGTACAAGTGGGGAACTTTTCATTTAGAACCGAAGAATCAGTCTGCCCCTGTGACATTTGCTGCCATTTGACATAGGAGAGTTGAAGCTTTGGGGGAAGAAAATGCGCAGGTGGCTCTGCTGGAGAAATGGAGCAGAGGTGAAAGCTAAGAGGCAAAATTGTGCAGGAGGAAAAAAGCAATGGCCTCTTGGATACCAGTTAGTTTCTGGCGAGCCATGGAGGAGGAAGACAGTTGTGGTGGAAAATAGCGTGAAGATCCTGGAGCAGGGAGGAGTTCTCCATCCCTTCCCCCCAGTTCTCCATTATCAAAGCATGGATCGGAGTACGGCAGACTAGTACAGAATCCTTTTTGGAAAATCAAGGTGTTTTTGCTTCAGCAAATGCTTGTCAGTCAAGTAGGATTTGGAAATGTTCTCAGTCAGTTTGGAAAGACAGTGGTGCTTTTGGAAGGCCTCAAGAAGAGGACACTCACTTCTGGATAGAGTCCTAAGAGACAAAAGCATAAGAAGTGTTCTTGGAAAGGCCAGAGGAATGGATAGTATAGTAATTTGAAGCCAGCACTGGGGAAAAAGAAAAAAGATAAGACATGAGAGGACAAAGGTATGTACAGAAAAGTACCAGCCTTCTGAAATCCTTGCATAAGGGAGTTTCAGCTGATGGGAGTTCTATGACATTAAAGTTGAATCCAAATGTTTGGAATAATTATTCTTGGAACTCCTAAGTTTTGACTAGCCAAATTTATTTTACAGCATGTATTTTAGAAATACAGAACTGGAAAGTTTTCCATTTTGCTAAAATTTCTACGTTCTTCTGTAATTACATAGAAAGATGTAAGTTCTTCTTCAAAGATAGTAGGTTTCATTTCCATGTTGATTGTGACAAAAATAATGAGACTGTCAGGAAAAGCTTAAACAAGTCAAAAAATTCTTGTAACTAGGCAGCAAGGTTTTATATTTCCCACAAGTCTGCTGAAAAGTGCCCCTGTCTTTCCTCTGACCTTTAGAGTCTCAAACACCCTGTTGCTATTCCCTTCACGCCCTCTTTGTAATAAGTAGATATCATATAAACATATATATAAAAAAATTAAGACAGTGATTAAGAACAATCAGGTTGTTCATTTGTGGTTTTAAATCTGTGCAGATTTGTGTGTGGATTTGGGTAGGTTTGGATATGGGGGAAATTAATGTCTATATATTTCATTATTATTTTGCCAGTGCACATGGAATCCTTTGGTTAGATATTTGAGTCTATTTTGTGTCGTCACACTGATGGACGCAAGCATATATGTGCTTAGCCGGTTAGTAAGAAAGCGTTATTGGCTTTTATCAGTTCTAATTGTCTAGGTAATGAAATATAAGTATGTAATAGTGGAGATTTATTTTGCCCACATTGTGTTCTGCATTGCAGTGCTGCAGTACTGCCAAGGGACAGAAGTGACTTGATTTTATTTTTTTTTTCTCTTTTCAATTATTGATTTTTCCCAGGAAAATTGCCTACATTTTAAAATCCTAGTGGGATGTTAGTGTTATTTGTGAGCATATGCATCTCTCTGTAGAAACACATTTATCTCTCTTTTTAATTTTTTTTTAAATCTCAAAACGTGTATACTAATATCTAATTTCTTTAAGTCCTTGTCTCAGGCTGATTTGTTTCAAGCAGCTCCCTGAAGTCTGCACACTCTTCTGCATACCTGTTTTGTTGAAAGTACACAGACCTGGCACCATCGTGTTTGCCAGGCATGCTCTTATCTCGTGCAAGCATTCAAACAAAAGTGTTCTATTGCTCCCTAAGTAATCCATGGGTGATCTTAACATTGGGAACAAGTCAGGCCAGGAGCCTATGCCGTATTTCTTAGTGCAGCGGTAGGCAGTCTCGGGGCGGGGGAAGGTACTTGCATAGAGAACGCAGCCAGGAAGTCAAAATAAAGAGCCGGAGGGTTGAAACTTTGGTTGTGTTCATATATAAAATTATTGCATCAGATTAAAATGCTGAAAGAGAGAGGTAATACAAACTGGGTTTCATAATATAGCCTGATTTTAATAACATTGTTCTTATATGTGCTTCTATGTATATGTCTTCTTAAAGAAGAGAACTCGCACTGATGTAGATCCAGTTTTTCTTTACATGTTGTTTAGTTTCCGGTTACACAGTGTAAATTTAACATATTTTAAGCATGCTAACAGCCCTATTTAATAAGGGAATAGAACGTATACTAGCATAACTTACTGAAAAGTATCTTTGTTTCTGTTATTACAATTGTCACTCCGGAAAAACAACAATAAAAATTTAAAATATAGCAAATAGTAGCAGATTCTTGCACAGACCCTCTTCTCTGAAATAAAATCAAGCGTGGGGCTTCCTAAAACTGTTTAGCTGCTATTATCTTTCAGATTCCCTTGCTTTGGAGTAAAGGAAAAATGGAAAAATATTTTTATTATTACTTCAGGAAATTCTGTTACTTCCAAATTATTTTGATTTTAGGCCTAAAAATTAGTTTCTTGTCCTGCTTATAGTGTATCCTTTTTAGTTTAATCAGGATCAACACTTCTTTGTTTATAATGTTCTTATGCAGTAACCAAAACTATGCCTCAGGCCTGGAAAGAGGAAATGTGATGAGTCCCAGACTCAGAGTGGTATCTCTGAATGTTTTAAAGCAATCAGAAACAAATGAGCTTGAATTATATTGTCTGTAATCTTTAGGTGTATACACAGAATTTCTCTGTGACAGTTAAGGACATGGATTTATAAGGAGATAAAGAAACCCAACACTGGGTTTCCACGAATTATCAACATTGCAATTTCTAGATTAATCTTGTCTAGGGGGTTATTCTGGTTTGCACATGTACAAGCTCAAGCATACTCCATCCACGATGCAATTGAATGAAGGATAAGATAGGAAAAACTGGTGGAGTGTGGTGGAAATAGTCAGAACCAGCATGTGTTTTCTAAAGCAGAATTCTAAATTTTCTTCAAGACTCAAAATCTGGATAAGCAAAACTAGATTTATCCAGCCATTAAAGGAAATTATCAATGTGCTTGTAAATATATATATATATATATATATATGGAAGACTGAAAACTGCACTAATATGTTAAGAATGATTCAAAAAATAATTAAAATATTTTTTTATTACATGAGAATATTTTCATCAGTTTGCATAAACCTTTCTGTGTTTCATGTAACAGTCCTAATATGAGTGGGGAGGTGAGTGGGGAGGTAGGTTGTGTTCCTACCAGTTACTTCCCTTACCCCACTCCTTTTTTTTTTTTTAAGATATAAGTTACCCTTTCCATGCTTCAGAACCAGATTTTGACACTGAAAAAGTACAGTATGTGTGTGGCACCAGAATTGGTTGGGAACAGGAAAGGTATATTTTGTATCTGTACTAAACCTGTCGGCTTAGTGCATAGAAGACTTGACCCTTGTCGGGTGTCTTGAAGTTAACTGGCTGACTTGCGGATTAATCAGTTTAAGACTGAAGCCAACCAGTGACAGGAATGGGCTTTGTTATGTGTGTGTGTGGCTGTGGTGCAGATTTACAAATTTTTATAATACTTTCAGTTGGACCGTGAAAGTCTGATGTAAAGCTTATCTCTGATCTCTGGTTTTGGCTGTGCTCATGGGATCGTGTATGTGTGTTTGGGGGAGGAGGGTGAATTCTTTAACACTTGACACCTGGCTCCACCAGGTTTCTAGCCATAGTCCTAGGAACAGCACTGTTCAAGGCATTAATAAAGTTAAAACCCTTAAGCTGTATGACCAGTAGGTCATAAAAACTGTTGCTGAGTATTGTGCTTCTTTCACAGCTGGATTATCATCTTGACAACTAATTCTTTTTTTACTTTTGTCTTTTTTATAGCTGTTGTGAACTTGGACAACTCTGTAGTTGACCTAGAGACCCTTCAAGCCCTCTATGAGAATGTGAGTAATCAGAGGAAGTTTCCTACCTAGTGTAGGAATACTGTAGCTCCATGTGAAGGTATTTGAGATTGCATCAGTAATAGTAACAAAGGTGAAGAATATGTTCTGCTCTGAAGCAAATTTTTCATTGCTTTAGGCAAAAAAATAGTGATAAGCAACTGAATTGTACTAGTTGTGCACTTTATATAGCCTGCTTTATTTTTACAAGACTCAGAATCTATGAAAGTGCATACATTTTAATATAAGTAACCTAAGCAGCTTCTAAATGAATAGAGGTTAGTTGTGCTCTCGGTCTCTGTCTCCTTTTTTGTCATTTCTTTCTGGATGCGGCAGTCCTTGATCAGTATAAATCAGACCTTGCACTTCAGACCATTGGCTTCCCATGGTAGCCTCATTAATATAACAGTAAAAAGCATTTGTTTTAATAAAAGTAATCATTCCATTTGGGGAAGTGAAGCTTTCAAATGCTGTTATTTCATGACCTCATCCAAACTAATTTCAACTTGTTTAAAGACTTACTCTAGGTTGATCTAATAAAAATAGTATAGCAAGCTCTAGGGGCCTCATGAACCTCAGCTACATCAGAGAACATCTGATTAGTAGGTATACATAATAAAGAATCCTAAGGTATATACTAGGGCATATTCCAAAACTCCATGAAATTAGTCACTTACAAAACTGAAAAAGGTACATGTCACAAATGTGTCAAAAAGTGTATGTTTCAGTCTCCAGCTGAGGTCACTGGGCATCGTTCCCCCTCAGAGTACATTCCCTGTTCAGGAGAAAAGGTATCTCCAAAGAGAGTGAAAAGACTTCACTTTCAAAGAATCTGAAAGTCTTAAACAAAGCTGTGAGGAGCAGAATTGCATTGAAGACCAGTATATGGGTTTTTTATTTTGTTCCTTTTTTTCCCCCTTTTTCTTATTTTCCCTCACATTATCATTTTGATAATATAGTCATCACTTTTATACCTTTCACATCTTTGGTTTTTGGACTGTGTCTTTTTATGCCCAATTCTGGAACGATTTAATAATTTATGAAATTTCTCATAAATAATCCACTTTGGGGCATGAAGAGAGATTGTAAGACCGAGTCGTCTTTACAGAAAATACTGAAAAGGTATTTTAACTATCTAATAAGTACTAGGAAACAGTATTACACATTCTATTCTTGACAAAACTCACTTGACACTGCTCAAGAAGATAATGGCCAACCAGCAAACTGATCCTAACTGCCTGAAATCTTTATGCTTTAAACATTTCACATCCTTATGTCCTAGAACTGCTGTATGGACCTGTGTGATTTTCATTTTGCATTAATTTCACCCTGTTCCTTACATAGCATACCTATATTCTATTCTGCAAATGTGGAATGCAAAACACTTAAGTCATTTTATATATTGCATATGCATGTGTGTGAGAGGTTGTGTCCTGAAAAGTTCAGTGTAGATACTCTTGTTATGATCATTTTTTGCAGACTTTTACTTTTTCACATTATATTTGTCCTAATAGGAAGCTTTCCAGATAGTTTCTCCATCTTGCCTCTGATATACTTCTAAATGCTGCTGTAATGCATTACTTTGCAATTCACTGAAATAATCATAGAACCATAGAATGCTTAAGGTTGGAAGGGACCTCTAGAGGTCATCTAGTCCAATCCCCCTGCACACACAGGGTCATAGAATACTGTTGTTCCTTGTGTTCTTATTTTAACTAATTGCATAAAATGTTTAGGAAATATAGTCCTGATAATTGAGAAAATACGTATGGTAATCTCAGGCAATGCTTGAAATGTTTGAATGACTCTGATATATTTCTTAGTTTGGATGGGAAGACGTATCAGCACAACTTTATTACTGCATTAATTTAGGCACAAGAATGCAAAAACAAAAAAACAAACAAAAACTTTTTCAGGATAGCTGGGTTTTATTTTAATCCTGGTTCATCTGTTTTGTAAAGCTATTTACAAAGCCATTTTTTGTAAAACAAATAATTCCCTAAAATTTTTATTTTTTTCCTTTCAATCTCTTCTCTTGTTGTCTTTTCTTTTGGGTGGGATGGCATTTGGTTAGAATGCCTCAGACCTTGCACTCCAGGCTTTTGGCATCCCCTGGAAGCTTCACAATGCTGTTCAATTAAAAAAATAAATAAAGTAAGTAGCGGGTGGTACCAGAGGGATTGGCATGTTTGACTCCTCCCTTATTTCTCAACCTCATTCTGCATTGTTTAATGTGGATAACTGCTGCCTCATTCCCCTACTTTCTAGCCATTAATTCGATTTTTAGTTCTTAGCATTTATTCATTTTTTTTGTTGTTGTTATTAGAAATTTAAATATCAGTAGTACTCAGCCTTTCTATTTGATCTCTATGGAACATATGGGAGCATTTGTTTTACAGTCGTCTGTCAAAAAGTAATCATTTTTCCTGATTGCCTATGTCTGGCATGGTTCTTTGCCGCCTTAAATGTGAATGAAATTTGGGCAGTCTCCAAGCCTAAACACACCCTAATTTCAAAAGCCACAATTCCAAGGGGTCAATTCCTGTTTGCTGTGGAATTAAAGTCTTGTTAAACCACATAGTTAATGTATACATCTTAGTGACTTTTTATAAATGAAGAAACCCGCGCGCCACCAAAGACCCAGGTTCTCAATAGTTTAGTAATATTAGCTGTTATTGAGAGGCTTGGCATTATCTGCCACGCTCACATAGTTTTTACATATTATTATATAGTTTTGTTCATAAAGTGGTTTAAATATGCATTGACAATCTGACAATATTTTACCTTTCAGTAGCTTTATTTCATTTTGCTAATTTAGCATTACAGTAGTTTTTAAATTTTCATTTGTTCTAACTTCTGTATGGACTCTGGGGATGAAAGAACCATTTATATTTGTCATGCTATATGATATTTTAAAATATTTTATCCTGTGCACTCAAAAGTTTTTGAGTTTTGTTAATTTTGCTACAATGTAAAAGTTGTCTCTACAAATTTCTTAAGATCTGCACACATAGCACACATAGCAGCACTAAAGAGGAAGAAGGTAAACAACATTTAATATAGTTTTATAAATTCAGGATATGTCATTGGGCCTTGTGTGGTTACAGGCAAGTAAACATTTTTATGGGGAAAGTGAGTAGCCTCTGCTCTATCAGTATCTTTAAATGGTTTTAGTCATTGCTTTCAAAAAAAAAATCATCTGTTATTGTTTTTCCTCAAAGACTTTTATTGTTTTTCCTCAAAGGCAGTTGATTGCACATTCTGACTCTTATATGTGACTCAGCTTTTAAGGAGTTTTGTAGTTACCATAAACCTAGACATCTCTGCATATCCCTGATCTTTCAATTATTTTTGAAAATATTCTTTAGAACTTCCAAGTCACTTTGCTTTTGAAATGCTACATTAACTTCCAAATCATACATGTGCACTCATGCACTTGCATGCATGTGTGTACACACAACACACACGCAACCCACTAACTGCTTCATGTTCTGAGTTAAGGCTATAATGTGGGCAAAAACAAAAAGTGTAAGATTTATGTTGTAAAATGAAAGATTCAACACTGCCCTAAACTTCATCCTACCTATGCTCATAAGTATACTCTACTAGTCTAATGTAAAGTACTTTTTAAGCACTTCTATCTGTATGTTGGCTGTTCTTTAGATGTGCTTAGTATAAAAGTCAAGCATATTACATGCTTTTGTTCTATTTATGATATCATATAATAGATGAAATCCAAGATAAATAGCACTGACTTTCAGATAGGTGCTAGGTGTAACTAGATTAACGAATTTTATGAGAAATAATTATTGAGTGTGTTCCCTTTTGGTACAAACATAGGCAGGTATTAGAAAAGTTTGTATTTATTTAATAATACCTATCTGCAAATCAGGGAATAGAAACATTAATCAGACAAAAATAAGCTAGCAGGAAACCATTTGAGCAACAATCTCCTGTAATACTTGTGCAGAAGTGTCGTTGCTTCTCCTCTATCATAATTGAAAATACACATCACATTTCTTGATAGCAGAGCCAAATTTATGGATTGAAATACAGTTTGGATTCTGAACATTGAACATGTATCGTATACTTGTCCTCTTAGCATGGTGAAGACTGTAAGCCATAACTCTTGAGCTTTACTTGGGTTTCCCATACTTAGCCTTTGTTCTTCTACTATTTGTTATTTCTTCACATATACAATGTTAGAATAAGGAACAGTGAGTCTGCCTAACCTTTGCTCCTGGGATTTGGTAGAGAAACATTAAACTTGATCAGTGTATCATTTATGTGTGTAATAGATTGTTTTGATAAGCACTCTAATAGTTCACTATGTGTGGAAGGCCAGAAGAGGAGATAGTCTAACATTTTAGTATTTCTAAAGAACTGGCAAATAACTGTTTAGCTGTATGTTCCTTGCCGCAATGTTTCTCTTTAACTACTGTTTTGAAATATTTCTAAGTGCTATCCTTTCAGATTTTTTTTAACATAAAATTTAAAAGGTTTTAGGCTTTTCTTCCTAACAGAACCTGCAAGCTTCTGCAGTCTAAGTCGGAAAGTTAGAAACACTGAAAAAAACCTTTAAAATTAGTATTTTCTTCATTGTATGGTAACGTAGATATTCATGTTGTATTTTAATTTTGTTTCTGTCAACCTAATTTCTAGAAAAATAGCAGCTCATATAATTAGTTCCTAGTACTTATCTTCAGTCAATTAGATGGGATGAGTAACAGCCATTATGGCTTTGCCAAGAACAACTTGTGCCAAACCAATCTCATTTCATAATATATCAGAATTAGAGGCTTTGAAAGGAGTAATAACAACAAAAAAGGCTGAAGATGACATGTATCTTGACTTTAGAAAGGCCTTTGACGCTGATTCACACAATGTTTTCATAAAAAAAAAAAAAAAAAAAAAAAAAAAGCCTAGGGAAGATAAGCTAAATAGCTCTATGAAAAGCTATGTGATAAGTTTGAGAATTTCTTTTGGCTGACTTTATTCACCCTTCAACTCTCACAATAAATCTTTCACACATTAAAAATAATCTATAAATTAAAAAATAAAATAAAATAAAAAGCAAGCTGCTTAGAAAAGAGAGCCCTCTCAATCATAGAGATCTACAATTATATGAAAGATTATAGTGACTGTGGCTTCTCAGCTTTCTGGTAGAAGTTTGGAACCAGGCAGTATTTTATTTAAAAATGTACTATATACATATATACTATATTAAAAATGTTTCCATACTAGACACCATTAAGTAGGATGGGAGGAATTCCCTGTTTTGAGTAGTACTCTGAGAAAGGTGTGGGCTGTTGGAAGAAAGGAGAGAGATCAACACTGTGTTTGGACAGAGGCCTAGGAAGCCAGATTTACTAAGGAGAAGTGAATGGAGTGGATTTGTCCATAGTGAAGCAGGGATGTTTGCCTGAGAAAATAGATTGCATCAGAGAAAGCAGTTGGACAGCGAATTGCATGCAGCATGTGAAAATTTCATGAGCTATTAGGAAAAAAGAAATCCAATACTGAGGATAGTGAAGAGCTGCAATAGACTGCTGGAGAGCTTGTGGGTTCTTCCACTAGAAGCTTTGAACAGAGTAGAGTTCTGATTTTGCTTGGGCAAGAAGACAGACTGGGTGATACTGTAACAAATTTATGATGTGTGAGTTGACCTCACGGGTTAGAAATATATTATCCTTATAATACTATTTTTAAAATGCAACATTTTGTAATTGAAATAACTTTTTAGGAGAATCCACCAATTTAGATTATTGTTAAAAATTATTTTATGACTATAATAGCTAATAATGCTGTTCTTTATATTTGATTTTAATCAAAGGTATTCATAATCAAAGAGTATGTTGGGATTTTAATACAAAAAGTATTCAATATGTTTTTGGATGTTTCTGTGAAAATAATGATTTAATTTAAATAATTTGGCAGCTAAGTATTTAATACAAATTTAGAGAAAGACTCAAAGTAAATAATTTAAGTAGCTTAAGTGATAAAAAGTAACATAGTTGAAATCATAAAACAAAAGCTATTTTAATACATAGTCAAATGTATTTTTTTTCCATTAAGCATGCTTTTCTTTGATTGTTTTTCTTTTGTTTCTTTGATTCTTCAAGGTTTTTTGTGATTTGACATATCTAGTAACTTTTCTTTTTCTTTGCCATGGTTAAAAGAATAGTAGAGTTAACATAGTTAAGGGAACCTGGCTTTCTTTTAAGTGTATCTTACAAGCAGAGTTGAGTCCAAACTCACTGCACTTGGAGTGATCTCTCTCATTGGAAATATTAAAAACCCAATTGCACATGGTTCTGAGTGACCCAGCTTTGAGTTGGATGCTTGACTAGAAGATTCCAGCTTTGACCATTCTGTGATTCTGATACAGATACAACTGGTGCATCTTATTGTCAGGAGCAAGGTTTTTTTGCTGAAAAGGGAAGAATGCAATTGTTTACAGTATTTTCTATCTGTCAGAGTATTTTATAGCCAAGATCAGACTATTTTAGAGGCAGAGACCCTGAAAGTATATCCACAACAACCCCAACTAAAAATAGAGGAGGCAGATGGCCCACGGTCACTTCCATGCTTCTTGAAATGATCAAAGAAGCTCTGAAGCAGTTTTGCTCTAAGTGAATTTTCAATCTCTTCACCTTTCTGGCCACATCATCATGTTCCCCCTTTTCACGTTAGAATATATCCTCAACAACCTCAAAATGACTCTCCCGATCTGACTTTCCAGTTTCAGATCCCTGATAAAGCCAGGGCAGTAGGATTTTAGACAGTTCTGTGCCTCTTCTGCTAAACTTGTAAAAGCCTGTAAGTAAGAATGCATGTGCAGCCTGTCTTTTGCTTTGAATCTATCCACAATCTATTTTGAAAACTACCATGGATGTGAGAGGGGGAGAAACAACAACAACAACAAAAACAGAGCAAGAATGAGAAATCTCTATTCCATTTTCATTCCTTTCCATGCCATCCATTTTCCACTATCATAGCTGAAACATGCAACATAGAACAATAGTAACATGGAGCACAGAAGCAAGACTGTTTCTCCTGATTGGAATACTGAAGAAAAGACTGCACAGTGTACCACAGGGTTCTCCAAAATACTAAGCAATTTACATATCATTGTTTTGGCTTATTAAGATAAAAGTAAAAAATCACTTTACTCGAGAGAAATAGTAGTCTGCAATACTTCTCATGAATTAGAGTGTGCACAGTAGTTCCTTAAAAATCAACTTTTTCTAAATACCAAATAAAATTTAAATTTCAGTAAGCGGTACAGATCCATTTTGATTTAGTTAAAAAGGCATAAAATATGTATGTTTAAAGATTAGATTGCGTTTA